AAAGCAGGAGCAGGAAAGCGCATGTTGGAGAAATGGTCCCGAGACTATTCAGGCTTCCACCCAACAAATATTCTTGAGGGTCTACTGTGTGGCACACAGTAGGGGTTGCAATGATGATCACGAGGGACACAAGGTAAGGCTGCAAAGTCTGAAGGGGCCCAGTCCAGACAAGGCCTGGGAGGCTGTATCTAGAATTTTATCTTAAGAACACTAAGGAAGCTGCCTTTGAAGTTTTCTAAGCAGGGGAATCACATGTTGAGATTTGCAGTGTTCCAAGTCCCCGGGTGTGGAACACGCATTCTGTGGACTGGACGGGAGCCAGAGCTCCACTAGCCAGAGCAAGGCGGGCGGAAGCCGCTGCAAGCAGGCTGGGAGAGGGAGGCTGGCAGCTTGGACGAGGGAGTTCGTGATGGAAATGGAGAAAAGTGGATGGATTCAGGGGATAGTTAAGGGTTAAAAGTCACCAGAACTATCAGTTCGGGGTAGAAGATGGTGAAATAGAAGTCAAATGGGACTGGAGAATGTGGTCAACGTGGCTTAGTGGGGGTATCAGGGACCCCAGTGGCGCGGCAGCCAGCAATGCCGTCCCCGCAGCAGTGGGCGGCCAGTGGTCACTAGAGAGAAGGAAGGACGAGGAGCCGGGGTGGGTGGCTGGGGGAAGCCTGCCAGGAAAGCTGACAGGAGCATTCCGTCTTAGAAAGCCATCATCTCAAAAGGACTGTTTTCTTTTAAATATGCTTTGTAAAATTCCACATCTATTTTGTTTGGACTAGTCTCGGTGGCAAGGAAATAACTAGCTCGCTTCATGTGTTCAACAGCACTTCACTCTACTAAGTCTTGTCTTCTACTCTTAGGGTGGAGGAAGAAGAAACCAGAGTTATCTGTAAGGTATATGTTGATGCCAAGTATCCATGCCCACCTCCATTTACTTTGTCCCTTTCTTAAGAATGTCAAGGAATGCTAGTTAACCACCAGGGCCCACCCTCCTTGGTGCCAAGGCCTCGCAACGACTTTCTTTACAACCACAGGCATTTGTACATGAACCCAATTCACTTGGCTCCTAAGATCATTAAGGCAACATGAATACATCCCTCTTGATTTGCAGGGATGCCTGGAAGTACTCAGGCTCCAGGCACAGTAAAAGGAGACAACAGCCAAGCCACGAGATGCTCCAACCTTGTTAAGCTGTGATAATGGCGTCTACAGAGTTTGATAAGGTTGCACTTGTATGCCAAGCATTTGCCCTATAATATTCATGATCCCTGACATCTACCCGATTTCATCCTTTTAGGAAAGCCACAACATGTAACCAATCGCTCAAATAAACATCAGCAGTAAGGGATCCACAAGCGACAATGAGGCTAAAGCTGACTTTGCCCTCTTCATCACTCCCTCCCACCCTCTGCCTCAAAACTTTGGGGTTTCAGTGTGGATGTGCCCATGCCGCAGATGCTTTCATTCCCCCTCCCAAACCGGTCTTTTTGCCCCATACATCTTAACCAAGTATCACTGGATTCATGCAAAGACCACTCAATAGACTTAAGGCTCTCTGTTAAGTGTTATTTCACCAAGACCACTTGCAGTAGGCACTACAGACTACCTACTACAGCTCTGCTTTAAACTGGTATCAAAGAGGTTGGGGAGACCTCTAGCTGGGGACAATTTTCTTTATTATTAAAAACGCTTTTTGCGTGAGTTTAAAACAGTCATTTGCGGAACACTCAATTTGACGCAAAGTTGAGTTGTAAGGACATGGGAAATCAAAACCAGATTTTTTTTTTACTTAACTTGATTAAAGAAATAAAATCTCCTTTCTCAACTTGCTGCTTCAAACTTCTTCTGATCTCTGATGCCCTCCTAAATCCCAATCCACTCCTCTCCACACCGTTTCTCTCTCCTAGAAAATGCCTGCATATGGCCCATTCTCTAGCCAAGTGGTCCTCCACAGACTGTTTACATCATAATTACCCCGGGGGAAATGAGAAATGCAGATCCCCAGAGTCCCATTGAGTAACCCAGGGGTGGGGCGCAGCACTGTGACAGAGAGAAGCACCCCAGGGGAGGCTCACTGCGCTTGAGGCGCACAACTCCAGATGTGCACTAGATTCCAGGACCCAAACAGAAGCCATCTAATTAACATAGAAGATTTAAGCTGGAACAACACAAATATGTGCTCAGTTGCATACAATTTTTATGCTCCATCCGAGGTCTGAAATAAACCCCAGAGCGCTGTGATTGGGATGCCCCGGGGTAATCACTTGCTCGGAGGCTTGGAGTTTTTAGCCTTTTCCCCTAAGACTTTTTTCTCCTCTCTGAATGCATTTCTACTTGGGATTCAATATAAAATGTCCTAATTCTCCCTCCAGAGCTAAATGAAATCAATTTTGAAAGTGCTTCAAAAGAGTACTTAAAAAAAATACACAACACCACATGTCTTCCCTTTGAAGCGAACGCTGGAGATACACAGGCGTCCACAGGAGGTGATGAGAGAAGTAAGCACTGGGTCTCCCGGCAGAAGCAGCCCTGAAACCAGAACTCAGGAAGGAAGCTGGCCAGCGAGTAAGTGGATCGGGGGAACAGTAGCTCCGACGTATCCTAGGTAAGTCTGGAGCCCAGAAAACTGCAATGAAACAGAAATCCTCTTATACAAAGTTAGCTTTCCCTTACTATTCAATTTTAAAATAGGACAGTGCTGTAAATGAGAATATGGAGTTGAAGTGGAATCTCAGAACTCCTCTGGGTGCCAAAGAATATTTTCAGACCTAAATAAATAGGCCTTACTTTCAGCAGTGCTCATTTATACCCATCTCCTCCAAGACATTTTAAATCTAGAGGCTCCAGAGACCAAATCTGTGTGTTCTAACATCAGCTTTAACCAACTCACATTACAGGCAGGAGAGCTTGTCTGTATGTAGATTTCTTAATGATTAAGTGTACAAAGAAATACCATATGACCTCAAAGGACCAAAGAAAATCATTCAGTTCAGAGACAAGACATAATGCTCCAGAAATGCCATAAAATAACTTCAGTGGCAAAATTCGTTTAAATTTGTTAGAAGGCAAAAGGTCAAGGTCACAGCTGTAACCTGCATGTTTCAAGCTGGACCACTCCTTGGGCTACAGGGAAAAAGAAGGCCTGAACTTAACGGAGAAGAGAGAACAGAGAGTGGAACAAGAGGGAGAAAGCAAAGGAACCACCAGGACAGGAACAGGCTCAACTGCTCAGGATCAATCTTTAGGGCACTGAAGGTATTTTTTTCTTCGTTAAAGGTTCCTACCAATTCTCAGGGCATTTTTAAAATGGGAAAATTCAGTACTGGCTCTGCTAGATCACCACTGACTTTTGGTCTCTCTCAGCCCAGCTAGGTTCTCATCACAACTACACAGCTGCAAAGCCCAACTACTTGCAGCTGGTTCCTACCCTGTCTCCAGCCACTCCCAGCAGGCACGGAGGCCTCCTGAAGACCCAGCGGCCATACAGCAGTCATGAGCATTGCCCACGTGCTTGGCTGGAGTGTGCAGCTGGAACTTCCTCTTTTTTGGTGCAGGCCCCTCAAGGGTGCAAAGTATTGCAACTAAGACCTAAGCTAGCTTTTCTGTTGAACAAATGTCTGACTGGATTGTGTGGGACAGGCACCAAAATCATCATCTCAGAACATCTGCAGTTACTTTTTAAAGCCCAGTTCCCATTATTTTATTAACACACTTCATCAGGATTCTTTGACAGTTTTTGGGCACTCTCCTCTAAAACTTGTATTTTTCTGCTATGTTTAATTGTTTCTGAACATGCAGTTCTAATCCGGCAGGGCAAGGAAAAAAACACATGACCAATGAGGGGCAGCCACCGACTCTGCCCAGTCGATTTGACCAACACGCAAAATACTCGTTTCTTCATCATTAAGACCTGTGGAAATCTTTACGGTGACTTATATACCATCTCTCCAAAAGGTAATACTAAGTGCAAGTGCTTGGCAGAAACAGGAAAATGAACCACCATAACCTTCCTCAGCAGAGTATTGGCTTATCCCGAAGAGATGCCTTAATGGCAGGAACAAAGTGAGCAAGGGCCAGATTGAGAATGCGTCGGTCAGTTCAGAAGAATGAAGCGCTTACCGATTCAGGTTAATCGCGATACTCTGTCTTTTCTGATGCTCTAGTCTCTGATCAGGAATGTTTATCAAAGTCAGTGGCAGATTAGAACATGTACACATGCAGTAACAGCTACAGCAAGAGAAGCCAGGAAGGCCATTCCTAAAAGCAACAGCATATACACAAAAATTCTAAACTGAAGAATACAGATATTGCAAGCAGGAAAATCAGGCCCTCACCGAAAGCTCTGATGATCTCAGAGGGGAAATGGGCATTTGCCAAAGATCATTCTTTTATTCTCTATACTTCCTCAAAGGCTTTCATACATGTCACTTTATATACAAGCAGTTATATAAAAATACATTTATCTACAATGTATGATATTGTAGATAAATGGGAACCTACCATCCATATTTGATAGATGAAGAGACGAATGAATTAAGAGGTGAGTGGCTTGTCCAGGGCCAGCTTAAGTGACTTAAGACCAGTCAAGTCTGGAGTCCAGGCCTCTTTACTCCACGTCCAAAGTCTGTAAACCCCCAACATATTCCTGTTTGCCCTCGACCGTCACAAGAACGTCTAACTCCTGAAAACCGTGCTTGGTGACCTGGTCTCATGGACAACATATTCCTGTTTGCCCTTGATCATCACAAGAGCAAAAAATCCCCTGAGAACTCTGCCTGGTGAGCTGGGCCCATGGGCACTTCCTCAGCCTCCTCTGCGAGCACCACCTGGCATTTGCTGCTGTCATCCGCCGCAGTTAACATTTCACACATTTCTTCCCTAAGCTTCCACCACACCTGATGCAACAGTGGGCGAGGGAAACATAAGCAGAACTGAAACCAGCTTTAGTGCCACGATAAGAACTTCCTAAGGGTGAGAAAAGGGCCAGCAATCAATCTTAAACCTACTTTGCCAAGTGGTTCATGAGCAGCTGTAACATCTGCCTGTTTTTCTCCGGGAGCCGATGAACAAGGCTGTGGATTTCAGAGACCCGAGACTCCTGGTTCTCCAGCTCTGCAGAGGAAGGAGGGAGGGGATAGTTGATCACTGTCAGAGCTTAGTCAGTTTCTAAAACAGAATCAAAGGAAACCAAAGGTTGGGCCCTCACAGACTGAGGATGCCTCAAAGGTTTATGATCCTGTTCTGGGTACTCATGACCAGAATGACCAGATCCAGAAGCGCTTTCAAGGTGCTTTCTGTAACCGTGCATTACAAAAAAAAAAAAAAAACGATTGTCAAAGAATTCAATCCAAAATGATGATGTGATGACATGAAGCCAGTCAGCTGGCACTCGCAGCAGGAACACACTGGGCAGCAGCTGTCTCCCTAGAATGACGACCTCATTTCAAGGAAGGAAGGGACTTCGTGCACTCAAGTGGTAAACAAATCGTGCATGAACAACATCGCAAGGGTCTCAAATATCAAAATGAACACCTTAAGACAGCATCAAAGAAATCAAAGAAAATGTCCAGTTTTGCTCGCCATGGGTGACAGCCGTCCCGGCAGAAGAAGGGAATAGCAGATGAAATGTGTAAACCTTTCTGCCAACCTGTAACCTAAATCACGGCCCATTACGCTCTCTTGAACTTGGGCAAGTGGTTTCATTTCTATGAGAAATAGATGGGCAGTACCCACCGCACCTATTTATAGGGCCGATGTGAGGTCTAATCGGAGAATGGTCGCTGTGGGTTTGGAATTTCCCTGAAAAAGAAATCTCATAGACACTGTCTTCACTCCCAGCATTTTCCCATGTCTTTCTCATTCCACTTTTAAGGGGACAGCGGTGAGTAGATAAGGCCACCAGAACGCTAGGCACTTCTAAGTCAGGGCAGTAGTATGCGAACAACATTTAAAGCTACCAGGGTAAACAAAGTCTGAAGGCCTAAAGGAAGCAGGGGAGGCACAGAGGCTAGGGCATGACAGCGCCGCGGGGATTCGTGCCAGGTGTGAAGCTGACAGAGAATTTTACTGCCCCTTACAGGGGACCTGCCCCACGTTGACAGATCCAGTATACTGAGGGTAGCCTGCATCTAATCCCTAGGTATTTTAATGCCGGTAATATGACGCACGGGACCTGGACGGTATAGCTGAAGAGTGACCATGGGCTGTACACGGGAGCCGTGACGGAAGGAGGACTGAGAAGTTATATAAATGGTGTCACATCCAGGGAAACACTTCCAGTGCTGAATTTAGGTAATGTGCAAAGTCTGATTCATTCTGCAAAATGCTACTCAAGGGCATTTTGAGGAAATGGAACATTTTTTCAAGGGAAAACCCCAAGGAATTAGAACTCCAATAATCAAAATCAGAAAGGCAAACTTACTTTCCTCCCCTCTCCACACCTCCAACACCCTTCTGAAGTTCCTCTCCTTGGCTATAAATGCAGTAGGGTAGCAAGGCCCTCAGAAATCCCAACTGGTTTCATTTTTATTTTGTGTCAGTCTCATGAGCATGTACATGTGTAGTTTACATGCAGAATACAAAGGGTTAGATAATACAATACTTATTTTGGGATGCTAACTGTTCTTTGCAATAGAAAAATCTATTCTCTTCTTCTTAAAAACCATGACAAAAGCAAAACCTACTTGCTGCTTTGATGAAACTTCTTTGAAACTGATACATCATGAGTGGTCCTGGAAGCATTCTGGAACACAAGGATATCACTAGTCAGCTTAATGAAAATAACCACAGTCACTCTAAAATAGCACCTCAGCCACCACCAAATTGTACGACATTTCTCAAAGGCAAAGATCACAGGGAAATAATAGCAACTTGACTTAGTCCAACTGCTTCCCTTTTGAAAGGCTCCTGAGATGTCACCTGAAATGTTCATTCTCTCTCTTTTTTGAGGGAATAGATACAACTATGTTCCACAGTCTCAACAAGAGAGGGGCTAATGCAGAAGCCTGGCACAAACCAGGAGATTTCTCCTCAGGCAGTGACTCTCCCATCACCAAGAGCATTTAAGGTATGCCTGAGGAACAGGCAGCTAAACGTTTATGGTTCCTGTGCTTAAACTCTCGTGTTCCCAGCAACCTGTTGTTAGAGTCACCTCATCTGGAAACACTAGGAGAGACTTTCATAGGTGGTTTCATGATGAATTCACTATGTAGTATTGCTTCAGAATGCCAAAGGGCTGGAACCCCTAACATTAGGCATGATAGAATCAAATTTTACTTGCTACTTAAAAAAAATATATGTTTTACACTATAGCTGATCAACATGTGCAAATATGTGCTAAATATAAACCACAACAATACAGTTTTGTGCAACTACAACAGTGGTATTTGGGGTATGAATATGTTTAACTATAAACTTGAGTTTTTTCCAATAGTCCAAATAATAAGCTTCTCAATAGACTATGCATTCTTGGTTCTGATTTTATTTTATTCTCACCAGGATAAAAGTCTTATCACTGGACTCTTAGTCATCACTTGCATCACATCTTACTCTTAGCTTCAAGATCCTTGCATCAGTTCCCCAAATGCCAGTAAAACCTGCATCACCCATTCCTTTCCTGTGGCTTTTTCCGCCTTTGCTTTCAAGACAAATGAGTCTTCACAAAACCTGAACAAATGCTTATACAATTCGTGCTATAGTTCTCCTCCTCTTTAAGACGAGCCCCCACCCCGCTACCTTTCTGTGTAAGAGGAACTTCTTACACAGCAAAGAACTGTAACATTCCTACCCTTTGAATCCAGCATAAATGTCAGTCTATTCATGAAACCGCGATGCACCTAGTCCACCACTTCCCCCCCTTACTATCCGAGGGAGGGGTAGGGAGCGAGCAGTCCTCTAGCATGGCAATTACACGCTGCCTTTTCCAGGCAGACAGTCTTCCCAGTGAAGTGATACAGTCAATGGCTTGAACTGTATGGGTCTGTTTACATGTGGATTTTTTTCAATAAATATATTGGAAAATTTTTTGAAGATTTGAGACAATTTGAAAAGCAATTTCCTTTTCTCTTATATTAGTTTAATATAAGAATACAGTATATAATATTACATACAAAATACGTGTTAATTGGTTTTTTATATTATCAATAAGGCTTCCAGCCAACAGGAGGCTATGAATAGTTAAGTTTTGGGAGAGTGAAAGTTTTCTTGCAGGTTTTCGACTGAGCAGGAGGTAGGTGGGTGCCCCTTTCCCCTGTATAATTCAAGGGTCAACTGCATTTCCAATCTAAGAGGAAAGGGTCTAAAAGGAGTTCCATTAAGTTCTCACTTTTAAGGACCAATATCAGCAATAAACACTATTCTGTGCAATGCACCAACTATCAAAATACTTAGGGTACGTGACCATGCATTTCTCAACACAATGGGATACATGATTCCTTGTTAGTACTTATTAAGGGTTTTGGAATACTACATTTTTAGGTTCTGTTAAAGGCTATTGATCACAGTAGCTTCTCACAAAAAGCAAAGCTTCCTAAATTACTACTGGCACCATCGCACAATGATATCCCATCAACTATGGATGATTTACAATCAGTTTGGCCAGCTGAGCTAATTGCACCCACGCATAAGCTGTTTCCACATCTCAAACACCCACCCGGACAGTTCTGGAGAATGGAAAAAAAAAACTGCATTTTTCCTGACTGCATGGTAACAGGCTGGCACCCTGCCTTGCCGATGGAAAGTCCCTACCTTAGGTAGGTCTTCAAAGCACTAGTGATGGTCTTAATCTCCCACTCGGCACAGATATCCGTTTCTGTTTCAGAAGCCGTTTTGGGGTCTAAAATGAAGAAAAGACAAAGTGTAAAGCAAAGCAGAAAATACAGCTAAAAAACAAACACACATAAAAGCACTCAGCCTCCCTCCTTATCAAAGAAATCTAAATTAAAACAAAAATGACACCTGTTTTTGGCTTATTAAATTAGGAAAATGTTTGAAAATCCAAATAATCTATTGCTGGGAAAATGTAGTGAAACTGATCCTTCTCATAAATTACTGGAGGCAGAAGAGATAAATGCAGCAGTTTTGAGAACCAATTTGGCAGTAGGCAGCAAGAGTCATAAAAATGTTTATACCTTCTGAAGCAGTAATCCCTTTTCTCACAATCTAGCATCAGGAAATAAGACATGAGAGAAGTTACATACCCCAAAACTAGTCAACACACTATTTTTTCCAACAGTAAAAAAACTTTAAAAAGGAAACAACCTAAATATTCAATGATAGAATGATAAAGTTAACTGTGATGTGTCTGCCCAATGGAATATTATGTTGCACTTAGATGATAATGACTACACGGCAATAGAAAATCCTGGGTTATCACGCTCTGTCAAGCAAAAAAAAAAGATTTAAAAGTTTGTGAGAAACCCATATGAGCAAAGCTGAAAGGAAATACTTTAAAATTAAAATAGTGCTTGGGTTAGAGTGGTAGAATTGTGGTTTTTAGATTTTCTGAACTATGACTCAATTGCCATTATTTTTATGTATGTATTTTAAATTGCCTTAAACCAAGAAGTGCAGTGAAAACCACCATAATTACATCAGCTCCTGATCATTTCTTCTTTTGTCTCTTCTTCTGCAGACTTTTAAAAAAAATTTGTGTATTTTAAGTAAATGTGTAATATGAAAGAAGAGAGAACTGTCATGGTCTTTCTGAGCAGCACGTGGGCGGGAGAACCGCAGGCAGAGGCTGGGTGGGGGCTGCTTCCCGGACGGGCAGGGCCCCACCTGCGGCTAGCTGGGGTGCCCAAGTGGGGTCCTTCAGAGCCCTGAAAGGGGAACCCAGCCTGCTCCTCTGAAGACGGGGACCGGCCTCTCTGCTCCCACTGCCCTTTCTTTCTGCACAGTGCCACCTCATTTTTCTCACCCCTACGTCCTGTGCTCAGGTGGGGTGTTGCCCGTCCCGGGGTGGGGAACAAGACCCAGAGCAGGAGCAGTCTAAGGACGCAGCTCTCCGCACTCTGGGGCTGGTTTGGGGATGGCCCAAGACCTAAGTCAGTTGGATCAGAGGGCACTTCAGGACTTTTCTACAAGAAAGGGGAAAGGCTACCTGCTGTTTCCTGCTGGGCTTGTGCCTGGAAGGTTATGCAACCACTGTAGGTGCCATGCAGGCTCTGGGAGTGAGTCCAACAGACAAAGCCAGAGATGAGAGGGGCAGAGAGCTTGGGTCTGGATGCCATGGTTTGGGCCTTTTTAATCATGTGAGCCAATAAATTCCCTTTTTCCTTAAGCTGGCTGAGGTCACTTTTCTGTTTTCTATAATCCAAAGAGACCCAAAAGACCCACGAGGTGAACAGAGACAACTGCTGGACCTTCTGGACAGCCTCCAAGAGGAAAGAGGCTCCTCCTGCAGATTTTCAGCTGTTAAATTGGGAATGAGTCACCAGCGGGCACAGCACGTTTTCTATTTCCTGAGAAAGAACCCACTTCTAACTAGCAGGAAGGGGCCGAATAATCAGGAGTGGATTAAGGACAGAGGCTCTAATTCCCAGGGGAGGGCACAAATCCAGCTGGGACCTGTTGCTCCCAGTATGTCCCTGACGCATACTGGGAGACGAGAGAGAAAAGGCCCTCAGCTATGACATGTTTGGCTCCCAAAGGCAGCACACCTGCATTTGCAGGTAACCCTGGGCAGTAACGAAGTCCGTCTCACCACAGGAGCCAAACAAGTCAGGAAGAACCTAAAGCGCCTGGTTTTACCTATAGGACCACAGGACGGTGGACTCCGTAGAGCTCCACCACAGCCAATTTCTGAAAAGTGAAGAAAGTGTGATTCTCCAAACACCCAAAACCACTGCAGCTTTCATTCTTTTCTCGCTTTGGTGCCTCACACTCTCGTGATGGTTTCTTCCTGTGAAGTGTGCGTGCCAGAAGCCTTCGCTTAGCGTGACCTTTCTCCTTCCCCATGCGCGAGGCACATGGGGCGCTGCCACACTGCATGGTTCTTGGGTACGAGACAAAGGTTACTGTACATTTTTCTGGGGAACAAACCAACCTCTACCCAAGACGAGAGAACATGACACTACACAAGCAGCAGCTGGCAGGTCTGGGAGTTGTGAACTGTTCCATGAACCACATTGCAAACTAATGATTAGCTTCCACTTATTCAGCCTCTGTAACCATAGGAATATTGTGTAACATTACAGAGAGGAGGGTCAAATTACAGCTAGGCTAAGGGGCTTTTTATAGCACTGATGCGGCAGGGCTCCTGACTTGAGTCCATCCACTTTAATTCATTTAATATCCAAACTAAACTGAACACAGCCTCCCAAGCTGCCCCATTTTCAGAAAGCGCTGCAAATTTCCACACCTTCCTACTGACGCTCCCCTCAGTTATAGAAGCATCCTGGTCACATCTGAACGTGATGCAGAGACACACTTTACAATTTTCTTCAGAGCTCAGCACACTTCTCCCTACCATGGCACTGGACCGTCGCAGCACTTAGCAAAGCTGACCTGCGCTAGAGGAGCGGCCAACATGCAGAAAGCATCGTGTGGTGAAGCGAAATGAGTATATTTCCTGCTCCCACATGCATCTGGAAAAACAGGAGATGGAGACTGGAAGCAGCAGCTACAAGGGGGGATGGCTTTAGAAATGTCACACAAGCTCCCTCTAGTCCACTACCGTGTTGCTGATTAAAAGCCTAAGGACCTTCTGGAGGAAATGATTGGGAAAGTTACCTTTATATACTCCTTAATTTCCTAATACCACATTATGAAGTCTGTAAATTAAATTTCTCTTTAACTGAGGTCATACATGCACATGGTAAAAAAAAAAAAAAACAAGCCAAATAGACCCACATTAAAAGGTAAGCCTTTCCTATGCTAGAGGCAACTGCTAATACCAGTGTTGTGTATGTACTGTGCTATGTATAACAGCATATGGATAAACAAGCACATACATGAATACATAGAGCTTTTTAAAACAGAACCACACTACAAATGTCACTCTGTACATTGCTATTTTCATTTAACATATCTTAAGAAATTGTTCCATATCAGCACACAAATATATCTACCTCACAGTACTTCACCATACCAGAGTTCATTCAATGTCCCTGTTAGTGGAAATGAAGGCTGTTTTCTGCTCTTTACTATAATAAACAATGATATAAACTGTTGCCTTGTACATGTCTTACCTGTAGAAAAAATTCAGAAATGAAATTTCTGGGTCTAAAAGTATATGCAATTCTAATTTTGAAAGATATTGCTCAACTATCTCTTAGAGGTTGTACCATTGTACTTAAGTATGAGAGTGACTCCTTCCCCAAATCCTTACCAATATGTAATCAAAACACTTTGATCTTAGCCAGTCTGATGAGTTTTTTAAAAAAAAGGTAACTTGACTGTTTTAATGTACATTGTTAATAGGAGGAAGATTGAGAATCTTCTCCTGTGTATTTGTGTGTGTGTGTGTGTGTGTGTTTTAAAGTCAAGCTTATTGTATTATATTCACCCTTTTAAGTGTATAGTTTCATGACTTTTGACAAACGCAGTCACATAACCACCATTTCCATAACCTTCAAAATTGCCATGTGCCTTTAGTCAGTCCCCTTCCTTCACCCCAACCACTAGTAACCACTTTCACACAGCACCATACTTTTGAAATCCATCCATGTTGCATGTACCAGTAGTTTGATCCTTTTATTACTGTGTTGTTTTCAATTGTATGAATTTACCCCAATTTCTTTATTCATTAATTAGCTGATGGACACTTAGGTTGTTTCCAATTTTGTAGCTGTTATGAATAAAGCTGATATAAATATCTGTATACAGGTTGTTATACAGATACATTTTCACCTCTTGGGCAAATACATAGGAGTGGAACTGTGTAAATAAAAATATGTAGGAGTGGGTCATATGGTGAGTATGTTTAACTTTATCTGAAACTACCAAACTGTTTACCAAGACAGTTGGGCCATTTTGCATTCCCACTAGCAACATGAGAGCTCTAGTTGCTTCACATCTTCATCAACACATGATATGGTCATGTGCTTAATTCTGAAATTTTAGCTATTCTAGTAGGCATGGAGAAATAACTCATTTTTAAAATTTGCTCTTCCTTAATGACTAATAATGCTGGTCATTGTTTCATGTGCTTTTTGGCCATCTGTACATTTTCCTTGGTAAACATTTGCTCAAATCTTTTGTCCATTTCAAAAACGGTTGGTTGTTTGATATTACTGAGTTGCAAGTTATTTTTAATATATTCTGGATATTATCATTTATCAGATATATATTAAGCAAATATTTTCTCCTGATCTGTAGCTTGTCTTTCATTTTTCTTAAAATCTTTTAAAGAGCATATGTTTTTTTATTTGGATAAAGTTCATTTTATCAGATTTTTCTCTTATGGTTCCTGCTTTTTGTGTTATAAGAAATCTTTTCTAAACCAACATCATTAAGATTTTCTCCTGTTTTTCTGTAGAACTTCTATAGTTTCAGTTCTCAGGTTTAGGAATATGATCCATTTCAAGTTAATTTTTACATATATTTTAAGATAAGGATTAATTTTTTCCTCCTAGGAAAGTCCAACTGTAATGACACCATTTGTTCAAACAACTCTTTTCTCCATTGAGTTACCTTGACACCTTTATCAAAAATCAATTGACTATATTATTTCTGGATTGTGAAATACTAATAAAGATTAAAGACACACAAAAAGAGGACCCCAGGTTTTGATGGCACAATTAGGCTCACAGTCAACATTCTGTCTGTCCCCAGAGGAATATCTACCAGGCGAAGCTCATGTGAAGCCTTAAGGAAAATCCACATTGGGTGACA